TGTGCACCGTGACGTTGGTGCCGGCATCCGGGTTCTCCTCAAAGACCTCGGGCGCCCCGTTGGCGCCCTGCGCAGCGCGCCACTTCTCGCGGCGCTGGCGGCGCTCCTCCTTGTCGGCCCAGCCGCCGTAGCGCGAGCTGCTGCCGTCGTCAATGACGTCCTTGACGTTCTTGTAGGCCTCGGTCTCGCGGATGGGCTTGGTGGCCTTGTCGAGCACCTCGCCGGTCGCGTTGGCGCCGGCGCGTACGCCCTTCATGACGGGCGTCTCCCAGGTCCAGGCGGCACCTTTGCCGATGGTGGTGGCGGTGGACTTGATCACCGTGGACGCGGTCGAGGAGACGGCGCCCGAGGTCGCCTCGTAGGCCTTGCGTGCGCGCTGCACAGACTCGCTCTCGGTGAACTGGTGGGCGCCCTCGGCCAGGGCCTTGGTGGAGTCGTTCCACTCCTTGGACTGCTTGAACTCGGACTGCATGGTCTCCAAAAAGACCTGCCACGGGGTCTTGTCGCCGTGGGGCGGCGGTGGCGGCGCGGCCTCATTGTCCTCCTTGGCCTTGCCATCCTCGCCCTCACCCCCCTTGCCCTCGCCCTCCTTGCCTTCACCCTCCTGGCCGTCCTTGGCCTCCTTCTCGGTCTTCTGCTGCTCCTCGGCGGCGGCACCCTCCTTGGCGCCTGCCTGCGCCTCGGCCTTTTTGGATTGTTCTTCTGACGGCGGCTGTTGTTGCGATCGGAGGACGGTGGCGTGGAAGGCACGCGCCTGCGTCGGCATCGCGAGGCGGATGGAGGTCGGGAGGAAGGGCGAGGTTAATGCGGAGGAGGAGGAGGAGAAAGTGGAGGGAGTGGAAGAGAGAGGGGTGCGCGATGCGGCATCTTGGCTGCGCAAGAGGGACGGCGACGTCAATAACCGGCGGTAGGCCGGTGTGCGGCCGGTTGTGAGGAGAGAGGAAGAGGCCCGCGAGAGGGCGCCGGGGTGTGCCTGCCGTGCGACGTTCATCTTGGGCTGTGGGGTGTATGTGACGACAGTGGAAGGTGCGAACAGGAAGAGGAAGTGAAAGCCTCGTGCCCTCCCGGTCGGTTGAGGAAAGAGCACAAAAAGGCTGATCGTTGCGAGGCAGACGAGGGAAGGTGCGTTTTGTGTGTCTGCTTGTGGGGTGGAAGGAACTCGGTGGCGGGCTGGGAATGGGAAAAGAAGCGAGGCAAAAACGGCTTTTACTGAATTTTCTCGGTTTAATTTTTTCACCAGTCTTGGTCGTCTTCCTAGCGGGCCTGGCCTGGGAGGAATAGGGAACGAGATCGAAATATGACGATTTTCTTGGGCGGTAGGGATTGGCTACAGAGCGGACAGTGGGTTGTCGGAGCGGCTTTGGGGCATTTCGGGCTCTAGAGGGAAAAGCAACTGCCATAATCGGACTGAATTTTCTTTGTTTTGCAGGGAAGGTGCACTGGCCAGTGGTTTTCTACGGAGAATGCTAGCAGCAGACGGGAAGCGCTTGACGCTGATTGGCTGGTAGGGCGGCGAGCTTTTTCAAAGGGGGCATCGGATCTGACCATAGAAAATAGTATAGCCCGAGTGCGAAGAAAACCACACCCTGACGAGCGACCGCAACCAAACTCCATTCGCTCACGACACCCCGCGTCACCGACCTCGAGTTCTCACCCCGCCATGGAGAAGGTGTCGGCCGGCTCTCTGCGTGTGGCGCGCACGCTGGTACAGTCAATTACCTCACCAGCGCTGCGGCCAACATTCCGATTTATGTCGTCGACGCCCTCCTCCTATTCCTCCACCTCCACAGCCCTGCGGCGGTCATGCGCAGCAGCACACCCGATACGGCTGTTCTCCAGCACATCAACTGCCCGCAATGCGGATCGGCCACCAGCCAGCGACAGCAGCAGCAGCACTGCCGCACCCACACCTCCGCGGCCAAGCAGCGCCAGCCTCATGGAGGGCCTGGCCGACCTGCTGCCGTCGACCCCTGGCACGTCCGGCTCGTCCCTGACCGGCCAGGCCTCGACCTCATCGGCACTGTCTGCGTCTGCCGCCTCGTCTTCGACGCTGACCGCGAGCATGGACGACATTGACAGCATGAAGAACGACGTTGAGGACATGTTGGGCGAGTTCCACCTGGCCATCTACGCGCACAAACACAACACACACGTGACCTTTTCGAAGCCCAACGGCAACGTGATCATGTCCATGTCGACGGGCAACATTGGCTTCAAGCGGTCGCACCGCGGCACGTACGATGCGGCGTACCAGCTGGGCGCCGCCACCTGCGACCGCATGTACCGGGGCAACTGGCACAAGAACATGCACAAGATGCGGGTGACGCTGCGTGGGTTTGGCCCCGGTCGCGAGGCGATTACCAAGGTTCTGCTGGGCCAGGAGGGCAAGCTGCTGCGCACCAAGATTACGCGGGTGGCCGACACAACGCGGCTCAAGTTTGGCGGCACACGGTCGCCACGGCCGCGTCGCCTGGGTTAGCCGCGGACAGACGACGAGAGGGGGTGTGATGCTGTGCATTTGGGACACAGGCTTGTACTTGTAGATATAGGAACAGACATGCAACATCAAATCTACTTTTGTTGTGTTTCGTGCCGTTTTGCTGTCGAGATTGTTCGAGGTGGTTTTAATATTGCTTTGTGGCATATGTTTGTAGCGGGGCTTGGACATTATGGTTGCCAAACCAGGCCACTGGAGAACGTAGCTTTACAGGGCTCCGCACCACCCACGACCACTAAAATTCTACAGTCGTTAGCGGCCGTGACATCACACCAATCTTTCCACTTGCAAAACGTCAAAACGACAAGGCAATGGGCACAGCTCCAAGGTGACCATGTCCACACGAGACTCAATACCACCGCCCTCTGCGGTCTCCGCAGTCTCCTCGGCCTCACCACCCCCCGCTACTTCTTCGTCCTTCTTCAACCTCGACACGCTGTTCGAGAACCCCGTTTTCGCTGGTGGTATCGGACTCGCCGGCCTCGGAGCGGCTGCAGCTGCCGGTCGACGCGGCCTTATTGCGGGCGCCCAGCTGCTGCGGCGGCGGCTGCTCGTCAATGTCGAGATCAGTCGGCGTGACCCGTCGTACCCCTGGGTGCTGGCATGGCTGTCGGAGCCGCGGCCGCCAGGCGGGTTCCTGGCGCAGCGCATCACGCGCATCCACAACCTGTCGGTGGCCACTGCGACAAAAGCCATGAACCCGGGCGGCGACGCGAGCCAAGGCAGCAATGGGCCCGTGCAGGCGTCCTTTTTCCTGCAGCCGGGCTACGGCCGCCACATCATCCAGCACCGCCCGGGCGTGTTTATTGCCGTCAGCCGCGAGAAGCAGAGCACGGCGAACATGTCGACGGGCGAGCCGCACGAGACGGTGACGCTCACGACCCTCTATGCGCACCGCCACGTGTTTGAGGAAGTGTTCTCGCAGGCGCACACGCTCGCGGCCCAGGCCGCCGAGGGCAAGACGCCCGTGTACAGCGTGCAGGGCATGGGCTGGGGTACCTTGGGCGAGCCGCGCACTAAGCGGCCGCTGGCGTCCGTCGTGCTGGACCGCGACGTCAAGGAGCACATTGTCGCCGACGTGCGCGACTTTCTGCAGCGGCAGCACTGGTACGTTGACCGCGGCATCCCCTACCGCCGCGGGTACTTGCTGTACGGCCCCCCCGGCAGCGGCAAGACGTCCTTCATCCAGGCGCTGGCGGGCGAGCTCGATTTTGGGCTGGCCGTTGTGAACCTGAGCGAGATTGGCATGACCGACGACAAGCTGGCGATGCTGCTGATGAAGCTGCCGCGACGCAGCATTCTGCTCCTCGAAGACGCCGACGCCGCGTTTGTCAACCGGCGGGCCGCACGCGACGCCGACGGCTACAGCGGACCCACGGTGACGTTCTCGGGCCTGCTGAACGCGCTGGATGGCGTCGCAGCGGGCGAGGAGCGCATCGCGTTCCTGACGACGAACCATATTGACCGACTGGACCCGGCGCTGATCCGGCCAGGCCGCGTCGATATGATGGTGCGCATCGGCGAGGCGACGTCGTACCAGGCGGCGCAAATGTGGGATCGGTTCTACGGCGACGTTGACAAGGATGGTGCCGGGCGCGAGCGCTTCCTGCAGCGGCTGCGTGACCTGCGGCTGGTGGAGGACGACGCTGATGCGAACGGTGCTGCGGCTGCGGTTGCAGAGAGGTCTGGGGACAGCGTGCCAAGGCGGCACACGAGCACAGCGGCCATCCAGGGCCTATTTTTGTTCAACAAGAACGACATGGAGGGTGCCATCAACATGGCCGAAGGCCTCATTCCGCGGCAGTTTGAGCCGGAGCCGACCGACCCCGGGGGCGCGATCAAGACGCCGGCGTAGGGAGGGCATGCATGCTCCCTTTTGTGTACTATATGCACTTCATTTTGTCCCTCTACTATATTTGATGTACAAACACCTCGGGCGATAGACAAAATTAGGATACCCTTTTCAAGAGCTTTACTATGTCAGAACCAGTGTTTCCTTGAACTGCGACATATGGCCGTGATCTATATAGATTCACACCCGTCCATGTCCATTCATATCCCGGTTTCCGTAATTTATCAGTCGCTGAGTCAATCCCTTGTGTATCCTCCCTTGTCGCCTTCTTTCTTCCATTTGTCAGTCCTTCATTATTTCTACCTCTTCCCACCCTATTCCGTGATATGGTCAGTTCACTTCGAACCGGAGGTTGTCGCTTATATGCATGTAAGCAGATATCACACTAAACGAAGTAACGAATACCTTGCGACCCATTTTTCGGTACCTTTTTATCGATAAGGATTTTTGTCAGAGGACACCGCCCAAAAAAGTAACTGCTGTAAGTCGGCAGAAAAAATAAAACGACCGAAACGCCGCCAGCCTCTTCTTCCACCAGCAACGAGGGCATCTCGTCGGGCGATTTTGCAAGACAGATCTTTCCACCACACAAACCACAATTGCCCTTCCTTACGAATTTTCCGCCGCTTTTCCTCCTCCTCACATACGACGATGCTCAGACAAATCACCCCACGCAATGCGCGCTCCAAGCGTGCCCTCGAGAAGCGCGCACCCAAGAACGACGAGAACCCCAAGACCTGTCTGTTCCTGCGCGGCACGTCAGCTTCCCAGATCGTGCAGGACTGCCTGACGGACCTGCACGCCATGCGCGCACCGCTCGCCAAGAAGTTCACCAAGAAGAACGACGTGCACCCGTTTGAGGACCCGGCCAGCCTCGAGTTCTTCTCGCGCAAAAACGACGCCAGCCTGCTGCTCTTTGGCAGCAGCAGCAAGAAGCGCCGCCACTGCCTGACGCTGTGCCGCACCTTTGACTACCAGATGCTCGACATGTTGGAGCTGTACGTGGACGAAACGACGGTGACGCGCATCGGCCAGTTTGCCGGCGAGGACGGCAAGAAGCGGACGTTCCCCGTGGGCGCGCGGCCGATGCTGTTGTTTGCGGGCACGCCCTTTTACGAGGGCGGCGACGGCATCGAGGGCGGCCGCCGCGACGGGCAGGGCGGCGTGGCACCGCACGTGGCGGGCGCGACGTCGGACACGGGCCGCAAGTACGCGCTGGCCAAGAGCCTACTGACGGACTTTTTCCGCGGCGACAGCTCGCCCGACAAGATTGACGTCGAGGGTTTGTCGCACATTATCGTGTGCACCGCTCCCGAGGGCAAAGAGGGCAAAGAGGGCGCCCAAGGCGCGGAAGGTGCTGCCGGCACGGACGCCGTGGCCCTGCCCCTGCTGCACCTGCGCGTGTATGCCCTGCGCACCAAGCGCAGCGGCCAGCGGCTGCCGCGCATCGAGGTCGAGGAGATTGGTCCCCGGCTGGACATGCGTCTGGGCCGGTTCAAGGAGCCGGACACGGAGATGCAGAAGCAGGCGATGCGCAAGCCCAAGACGACGGAGGCGCGCACCAAGAAGAACATTGAGACCGACGGCATGGGCGACAAGGTGGGCCGTGTGCACCCGGGCAAGCAGGACATGAGCGAGCTGCAGACGCGCAAGATGAAGGGCCTGAAGCGGCAGCGCGGCGAGGCGGAGGGTGCGGCGGGCGATGACGATGACGACGATGCCGACCGGGCTGTGATTGAGGATGCCGGCGAGTTCACGGGTGTCACGGGCGTTGTCGAGCTCAAGAACGACTTCTCCAAGAAGAAGGCGAGACGGTCATAGGAGAGGAGTGAAAGACGAACGAGGAAGAAGCACGATCATCGTCTGTAAAAAAAGCAACTTCTTCTTTTTAGATTATTTTATTTCTGGAGCACGGCGTCATTCGGGCAGTCTTTAGGACGCATACTGCTTTGTTTTCTAGTTTTCATGGAACACATTTTTTCTTACAATTTGCACAGCATGCAGTATATGTTGGCTGTAGCATCAGAAGGTACAGTAGTTCGAATGGTGTGTTTTATATATTTGTTCAATATGTGGATCTCAATCGTTTCAAGTGACAACTAAATACCTCTGAGAGAACCAAGTAAGACGGCGAATGTGGTCCCCGTCAGACAACGCGCTGGCCAATATAAAACGCCAGAAATCAGTTCCCATCCCCAAGTGTCACTCCTGAATGCACACGAATGGCTACCCATCGCCTAGCTTTCTTTCCTCGTAAAAGTGTTTAAAGAACACCTTCAAGAATCGGACAGTAAAGAAAGGCCAATTATGAAACTCCCCTCCCACACTCATCCCGGCCCAAAACGTAAAATACAAGTACAAATGGTTTAAAAACGCTCACAAAAAAATAAAAAAAATAAACTCCGCGCCTTCTTACATATGCGCTGAAACGTTGTTGGGGTCTCTCCTTTCTGCAGACACGGCCAGCAGCCTTCACCCGCCTCTATAAGCTGGCAAAGTTGAACTCGTTCAACTCTGACGGCACCCCGCCATTGTTGATTGTCTCCGTGATCATGTCGATGTGGTGCACGTAGCTTTCGGGCCCGGCTGCAGCACCGGCACCGGCGCCGGCACCGGCGCCGCTGGAAACCAGGCCGGCTGCATCGTCCGTATCGGCACCGCCGCCGTTGGTGCCGTCCTCCGTGTCGTGCCAACTGGCGCCCCAGACCTCGGTGGGGACATAGTCCGATGGGTGGTTGTCGTCGTGGTACAGGGCGACCCGGACGGCCCACTGCATGTGCGGCCACCAGCGGCGCTCGACGTCGACGGGGACGGCGTCCGAGTTGAACATGGACACGACCCCCAGCACTTCGCGGCGGGCCATGCCGTGCAGCCACCAGACGCTGTCGAGGGTCTTGAGCATGGCGAAGAAGCAGGCCAAGATGGTCAGGGCGCGCGGCGTGCGGCTGCTGAGCAGCTCGACGAAGCGGCGTGATACGGTGGCCGGGAAGGCCAGGCAAGCGCCATTGTTGCGCATGCCGTGGGCCCAGTTGAGGACGGCGACGGCGTGCTGGTAGGCGTGGCGGGTGCGGGCGCTCTCGTCTGGGTCGTCGGCGACGTGGACGCTGTCGCGCAGAATGTTGGCGATCTGGTGGCTGTTGGTGGTCGGGGAGCCTGCCGGGTGTGGGTGCTGATGCTCGAGTTCGGCGTCGCGCTCGCTGTTGCTCGTGCAGACGCAGCTTGGGCTGTGGTGCCGGTGCGCGCCCTGGTCGGAACGGGACGAAGACGGATCGTTGGCCGCCGAACTTGCGACGTGGCACTCGTTCGCCGCGGCCGACGAGTTCGACTTGTTGGCGCCGGACGCGCTCGCGACGGCCGCCAGCTCTTCGTCCACGCCGTCCAGCAGGTGACCGAAAAAACCGTCCTTGGCTGACGCAATGTCGAGGTGCAGTGCCGGCTGTGCATTGATGATGGGGAGCACAACGTTGCTGCGGCGCAGCCAGGGCCACGAGGCGGCTGTGATGGCCTTGACGCCCTGAAACGCGTGGAACCAGGACATGGGCAGGCCGTAGTTGCCACTACTCACGCCAATGGACATGTGGGACAGGGAATATGGGTCGCGTGCCGGCGGCTGGCCGTTGGCATGATGGGCGGATGCGGACGGCTGTTCGTCTTTGCTAAAGATGCGCGTGGCGGTGGACTGGAAGGCGATGAGCGTGGAGTTGAGAAAGAGGGCCTCGGCATTGGAGGCTGTGATGCCCTGCTGTAGGAGGCGGTTGTACTCGCTGAGGGACGAGCCCATGTAGGCGTGCGAGGCGCGGATGAGCTCGCGGTCCTGCGGGAACTCGCTGCGCAGGTGGAGAGCGGCCACGGCCAGGACAGCGTCGGTGAGATGGTTGGAGGCGGCATTGACGGAGCCGCTGGCGGCCGCAAAGGCCACGCGGGGTACATTGTCGCGCCAGATTTGCTCCGCCGACGGGTTCTGGCACGAAAGGGTCTTGCTTGTCTCGGTGGTGTAGTGGTGCAGCAGGCGCATCTCGAGCAGGCGGGCAGCGGCTGAGGCTGACGCCGGCGGCGCGAGAGCCAAGGATGTTGGTGATGCAATGGTCGGAGAAACAGACGGCGGGGGCCCGAGTCGTGCAATGGCGGCGGCATTGGCCTTGATCGACGGTATTGAGGGGGTGGCCGGGACGGCAAAGGAGCCAGCAGGTGTGGCTGCGGCCGGCGTGGCGCCTGGTGTGGAGGCATAGGAAGTGCGCGGTGTGTGGGCAATGTCGGAAGCGGCATTGGGGAACTCAAAGTCGCACTGGACGCCGTGCTTCTCGCAGTTGTAGCAGCGGGGGCGGATCTCGTCGCACTGAGGCTGTTAGACGGTGAACAGTGATGGCAAACGCAGCGAGAGCAGACATGCCGGAGGCACGACAGCCATGCTTACCTTGATCTTGCGCGACTTGCAGCGGCGGCAGCCCGCTCTAGACTTTTTATGTGAACGCCGCGGAGGCATTGTGACTGTGGAGAAGGGGATGGAACGTGCAAGTGGCGTCGACAATGGTTGTGAGCGCAGAAAATATAAAAAGGCGGTCGGGACGGTCAATGTAGAACAAGGAGGGCACGCTTAGGCACGTGTCAATGAGCGGCGGGAGGATCGGAGTTGTCGGTAAATGCACAGGGACGTGACGTCAACCAAGCCATTGGTTCAGGCGGCTGCCTGGTCATGATAGTGAGGCCGTCTCCGGGCGTAATTTCGGGGCGTGCCCCTGAGGCTGCACGGATCGGGCCAGGATAGACGTGAGGAAGGGAAGGGCGGAAACGGGGCAGCAGAACGGGACGGCGAACGGACAGGACTGGGGGTGTGTCTGACGGCCGTGAGATATGCAGACGGATGGTACAGGGGAATAGATCGTGCAGAGAATCGAGAATGCGGAGATCGAAAATGCGAAAATGCAAACGTCGAAATGGAAGCGGCAGTCGTCTGTGTCGAGACACGAGCCGCGGAGCCGCGTAGGGATGCAAATGACAGGAAACAGCCGTGTTTTCCAGAACATGCAACGCTGACGGGGAGCGACTGAACCCGAGTGCCCGAGCACTAGTGTCTTTGCTAACTGGAGGAACGGTCAACTGTGGATGAAGCGACGAGGGCGAAAATGCAAAATAGTGACCTTTGGTGATTGATGGTGCTGCATTGGCGCGCTTTCCCATTTGGATCATTGGCGGGCTGAAAGGCGTACGTTCGTGCTAGAGTGGCGCTGATTGGCCACAACTGATCCAGCGCAGAGGAGAAAAGGAAGGAACCCCAGCCGGATCATGGACTTTCCGTGCCATTGTGCATAGTGCGAGGGCGCGAAGAAGGCGCAGCTGATAATGTGTCTCTCGCCCGGGCAACAGGCAGGTGCGGATGACCCACGAGAAGCAAGAACGACAAAGAGTCAGGCATTGCAAACAAATGATCACGGAAAGAGCGTTGCGGGAAGCAGATTACTTGGATAATCGGTTTGGGAAGCTACGATCTTAAATCCTGTGAAGTGAAATGGTAATGCGGAATCAAGGAGCAGAATTAAGATCCGAGATAAGAGGATCAATGCGTTGAGGCTGCGGGAGCCGAGAGACCGGGTTAGGACAGAGACAGAGACAACGAACAGACGGACCTGAGCGACAGATCGGACGGTTGTACTGTGTGTTGTCATCCGATGAGATACTCCCCAAAGAACACAAGCTCCCCCTGGACAAAAAAAGGCGTACACACAAAATGTTCTAGCAGTCTTTCAGTGCAAGAAATCTTTAATTTAGCACTGTAACAGTGCCGACATCTCCACCAAAAAGCGCTTGTGTGTACGCGTTTTTTTGGCCAGGTGGAGACAAGCAAATGTGACCAGCTCTACAATACCAATACGCAGAGTGCGATGCAAAACAGTGCTCCGTAAACAGTGCTCCGTAAACAGTACTACGCTCTAGGACGTTGATCGACCAGGCCCAGAGGATGGCATCAGCCGTGCGGTCTTTTCGTTTTCAGGGTCCTGGATACATGGCACAGAGGTGACAGGCTAACAGGATATGGACACGGCTCGCGGGGCAGCTCATGGCTGACGTTGCAGGGAAGTATGTCCGTAGAGAGAAGCACAGAACGGGGCGGCAAACAATCTGGGGTGTCAGATCTATCAGCACCATCGGAACGAGTCAGCAAATCTCGCAAAAAGCCGTTGCCGTTCTATCGATAAACAGACAGCTATGACGACATGCAGCAGGGGCCACCAACACGCAGTAAGCGGACACGAAGTGCCGGTTTTGTGCTTGGTGACACTGAAAGACGCAGACAAGGTGATCGCCGTGCAAAAGAAAGTGCGCGGAGCAGCATCACATAACTGGATGACCAATGGTGATTATTTAAGCATTCCGCGTGGTTCGGAGGGCGACCTGCAAAAGGCAGGCGCGGCTGGCTACGGCGGGAGTACGTCACAGAAACAGAAAGAGCGGTGGACACGCACAGCGCGGAAAGCATGCAACTTCCTTTTTTGTGTAAGCAAACGGGTCAAAAATCTTAATCTGGGGCCTTTTCAGCTTTTTTCGACTCCCGTCATGCCAGTGGCCCAGGGCGGCTTTGGCTGTGTAGTGTAGTGGTGAGTGCTCGTATTCAACGGGCGGCAATTCGCGGGCTGGTTCATTGAGCTTAGAAATTATGGAATTGCCGTGGTGAGTAATAGAATCGGCAAGGAGCACCAAAGAAGCAAGCCATGTCATGAGAGCGAATCCCGAAGAAAGAACGACCGCTTGCGCAAGATATATAAGGAAACAGCGACCATGGAACAAAACGCAGCACATTGAACGGGAAAGAGCCAACAAGGAAGCCACAAAGATACAGACCAGAGAAGGAACGATCCAAGACTTTGGGCCTCGCTGCAGCTGCAACAAACTTTACATCAAGTCCCATCAATTCCTCAGAACTGTGTTCAAGACGTGCCTCCAGAGGCATTAGCCGCATACGGCAAGTGAAGAGATTGAAAGAAAAAATTTAGAAGGAAAAAACGGGACGGGGACGGCGTCCATCGTTTTGCAAACCGCCAATCACCAAAACCCCTCCTGCCCTCCTAGCTCTAAGGTCTTTTAAAGACGGAAAGAACCCCACACTGACTCGGCCATTGCGCCATCGCCGTGACATCTTGCGACTCGAGCAACTTCGCCTCTCGTTTGCATCGACAACAGCCCTGCAGACGCCTTGAGTCTCTGAGCTCCTAACATTGCCTTATATCTTCACACAAAGCACTTTCGGGTCCTCTTCAAAAGCAACACACCCCCACGCATCTGCCCTCCTTCAATTCTGCCGCCCAGTCGAAATCGCAGCAAATTGCACGGAAACAGTTCCCACGTCATCGTTAGATCCAGATCGAGACAAGAATAAACGAATCATACACAAGACAAGACCGATAGTGCATTTGGATCTCATTGGCAGCTTGCGCCGGATCCAAGGACCGTCTACACGGCTGCCCTCCACCCAGAACGAAAACCACCACAAACTCTATATCGCAGACCAGCCCAACATGACCGATTCCAAGCTGGCTCCTGAGCAGTCCACATGGCTCAAGAACGGCGTGGCCGCCAGCAACGGATCTGCAGGCACCCCCACGGCCCAGAAGCAGGCCAAGGCGCAGGCACCCCCACGGGGCTTTGGCACCCTGGCCGTCCACGCCGGCAGCCCCCACGATCCGACCACGGGCGCCGTCATTGAGGCCATCAGCCTGTCCACGACGTTTGCGCAGTCGGCCGTGGGCAAGCCCGTCGGCGAGTACGAGTACAGCCGCAGCAGCAACCCGAACCGCACCAACTTTGAGAACGCCGTGGCCGCGCTCGAAAAGGCCCGCCACGCGCTGGCCTTTGGCTCCGGCAGCGCCGCCACGGCCACCATCCTGCAGGCGCTGGCCTCGTCGACCTCGGTTGGCCCGCCGCTCGACAGCGCCGCCGGCGATCGTGCGTCCATCGCGACGGCGGCGACGGACGACAAGGCCCATGGCTCCTCGCACGTCATCTCCGTGTCCGATGTCTACGGCGGCACGCACCGCTACTTTACCCAGGTCGCCAAGGCCCACGGCGTGCGCGTCACCTTTACGCCCGCCATCGAGGTCGACATTGCCGACCACATCACGCCCGCCACCCGCCTCGTGTGGATCGAGACCCCCTCCAACCCGACGCTGCGCCTCGTCGACATTGCCGCCGTCGCCCGCACGGCCCACGCCCACGGCGTGCTGGTCGTCGTCGACAACACCTTTATGAGCCCCTACCTGCAGAACCCGCTCGAGCTCGGCGCCGACATTGTCGTCCACAGCGTCACCAAGTACATCAACGGCCACAGCGACGTCGTCATGGGCGTCGCCGCCTGCAACCGCGACGACCTGCACAAGCGCCTCGCCTTCTTGCAAAACGCCGGCGGCGCCGTCCCCTCGGCCTTTGACAGCTGGCTCGCCCACCGCGGCCTCAAGACGCTGCACCTGCGCGCGCGCGCCGCCTCCGGCAACGCCCTGGCCGTGGCCACCGAGCTGGAGCGCCGCACCGACCTCGTGCGCGCCGTCAACTACCCGGGGCTGGACTCGCACCCGCAGCGCGACGTGGCGCGGCGCCAGCACCGCGAGGGCATGGGCGGTGGCATGCTGTCGTTCCGCGTCAAGGCGGGCCGCGCGGCCGCCGAGCGCTTCTGCCAGTACACGCGGCTGTTTACGCTGGCGGAGTCGCTGGGCGGCATTGAGTCCCTGGTGGAGGTCCCGAGCAGCATGACGCATGCGGGCATTCCCCGCGAGCAGCGCGAGGCCGTGGGCGTGTTCGACGACCTGGTGCGTGTGAGCTGCGGCATTGAGGAGTCGCAGGATCTGCTGGAGGATGCGATCCAGGCACTCGAGCGCGCCACGGCCGAGGTGCTGGCCGAGGCGGCGGCTGCTAATGGCAACGGCGCGTCCCACTAAGGAGGCTTGATGTCGAGAGAGGTTGCGACTTTCGACGTTGTTGGGAAAAGCTATCATTTAGTTTCCTGTTCTTGCGCATTGTTTACATGTTTTTACTATGCATAATACTGTTGGCATTGGACCTATCCAACTGTTGGAATTATAGCGATAGAATTTTACATTTTACGTTTTGCCCTGCATTGGGTGTTTCTCCAAGGCGATGAAAATAGACAAAGGACATTCACATATGAATCACGCATTGCTATTGTGCGACAAAGTGATTGAACTCGTTTAGAATTGTAATAAATTGACCTTTTCATTCTGCAGAGAGGAGCGCTCCTCCTTGGTATCGTCCCCCGCTTTTCTTCCCACCCGTATCTAATTAAGACGCCGTTCACCCTCTTTCTGTGAGGGGCTGAGTTCGTGGAAAGAAAGGGAAAATGATGGATGACAGTGAAATGTATGAACAAGCACCGCGTACGGAAAATGAAAATGCCCGAAAAGAAGCAAGCGTAATCCAATGTGAGATGATATGAAGGTGGCAAGAGTGGAAAGAAAATATGAGAGCAAAACGAAATTAGTTGTAAACAGCAATGCAACAAAACGCCGCCGAAAAAAAACCTCGCTTTCCCGTGCCATGAATGTTTGGTTGTAAGCAGGGTTGATGCGCTGAGCATGAAGCTTCAGGGGTACAAGACAATGACGTTAAAAAGGAAGGGGAAATAATGATGAGTGGAATGCAGAAATGGAGAGACATAAAACAAGACGCCGTAGATGGCAGGCTGTGAGTAAATGGGATCATGAACAAGATGAGATCTGCGCACCAAGGCTAACCGAGACGGCGCATGCCCTCCACGCCCAGTGTCGGGACCTCGACGTCCCGCAGGCCGTAAATGCCTTCGTCGCGGCGTCGGTCGATGAACGAGTTACACTCGTTGACCACCAGGCTCCACTCGGCCAGGGCACGGCCCGTATACTTGGCACGCATCTGCGCATCGTGGCCCTTGGGCTCGACAGGTTGCACGACCACGCGTTCGCGCTCGCGCTCGCGCTCTCGTTCACCATAGAAATCGTCCTCGGACGCTGCCGCAGACGCGTGCCACTCGCTTCCGTCATTGGTGCCAGTCGATGAGCTGCTGCGGCGGTAGGCCGTGCTGCTGTCATCGTCAACCGGAACCGATTCGGCAGGGTTGGCATTGCGGGCTTCGTTGATCAGGCCGCCCGTGGCAAAACCGGAGACGCGGCGCGTGATAGGGGGCAGGCCCGCGGCGGGTGGTGGTGGGCTCTCGGAGCGTTTGCCTGAAGCGGCAGTACGGGCGCTGACACGGGCCTGGGCCGGTGCCGGCAGCCGCGGGCAGGTAAGGACACGCTCACGGTAGGCCGGCGGGAGCACGATCTCGCCCTGCCCACCACCAAAGTTTTGCCAGGGGATGTTGTGCAGCATGAACCGAAAAACGAATTGGGCAGCGTCAAAGACGGGCGTCGATCCAGTAGACGAGTCCGAATCCGATGATGGTGAACCCACGCGGCCGCCGGACGACAGCAGCGACGAAGATGACGATTTGGGAGGCAGAGCAGGTCCACCTTGCTTAGAGGCGGCGATGGCCACAGCCGTCTCCCGGCGCATCTGCTCAAAGTCTTCTTCCGACGGTGGCTTGGAGGTGAGATTCAGGACCTTGCCAAGGAGTGACCACTTCTTCTTTGCGGAGCCGCCATCTGCCTTCCTGTCGTCAGACGCAGGCGACAGCGTAGGGCTGCTCACGCCAAACTCGTTGCCACTGAACGAGGCCAAATTGGCAGTGCTGATACCGCTGGCCGAGCCAGCGAGGGCGTCGAACGTGGTCGGGGGGCGGTTGCGGCCAGCGCCGGTACCATTGCCAGAGCCACCAGCGCCGTTAGCGAGGAGGCCCACATTGGGGCCAGTGACTTCGGTGCGCACAATCATGAAACGCTTGCCAGGTTGTGGCAAGGACGGTGCGGTCGAGGGCGGCAGGACACCCTCGGCGTCGGCCTTTTGCTTCAGCCAGAGGTAGTGCGACCAAACTGTCTTGAGGCGCTGGGAGACAAGCAAGAAGATCTTGGCGTCGAGCTCGTTGCTACTGCCTGCGTCGCGGCACATGCGCCAGCAGAGCAGACGCATGTAGTAGGCACGCACCATAGGGCACCAGTTGTTGAAGAACTTCTCAAAGACCTCCTCGGTCAGCAGCCAATCGACACACAGCGCCTCCTTACGAGCGGGGTCGGCTGCGACAATGTCCCACGTGGCAAAGACAAAGGATAAGACACGGATCTCGGACATGGTGTTGTTGGAGTTGAGCATCATCTTGCAGACGTCGAGCCAGAACGTCCAGTCGATGAAATCAATGGGCTCGTTGGCCGGAACAGGGGCCCGGTGGTCCGACGTCGAATCCGCTGCTGCCCTACCGCGGTTGGCGTAGCCATAGTAGTTGTCAAAGGTTTGCAAAATCTCGTGCAAGAAGTCGCACAGAATGTAGCACGCATTGTGGTCGTATTGCGACGTGCGCAGGGTGGCTGCTTTAAGGAGCACCATGGCCGAGCCGGAAAACGTGGCACGCGCACCAGCCAGCGACTCGTCTGCGGTCAGCAGGTCACGCAGCAGAGCAATAATGCGGTTCTCGTCCATGTCGCGGAAAAGATTGTGGTTGGGCTGCATCATAAAAGAGGGCACAAAGGCGTCGTCCGACGAGGCCACCAGGAACGGCTGGCGCTGCTGCATCTGCTGCTGCATCCACAGCGACGGGGTACCATCGGTCATCGGCGTACCTGCCATCATCATGGCCGCCTCGACGGCTGCCTGCCGGTGGATGGTGTTGTCAAAGATGTGCAGCAGCTGGGCGTGCAGCAGCACAAACCCAGGCGCGCGGGCCTTTTCCACGAGGGGCAGCTGCAGGCTGATGGGCATGAACTCGTTGGCCAGCACGTGATAGTATTTGCAGAAGATGAACAGCAAATCAGTGTCGGCACCGCGCCAGCGGGATAGCCAGCAAGGGGCAAACCACGAGACACGGCTGCACGCAGACACATAAGCCGGTGGCAGCAGGCTCATGCGAGGCGGACGCCGCAGCTTCGCCTGCATCGCGCTGACAGACGACCAGCCCAAGGGACCGATGCACGGCGGGAACAGGGCCACGAGGTCCTCGCTCTCGCCCTTGCTGCGCCGGGGTAGACCAAAGGCGTCGGCAACACGGCGGACCAGCTCAATGTTCTTGTCCAAGCTCCAGAGTCGGATGAGGATGTCGGCCACACCGGGCACAAAGAAAAAGGCATAGGCACAGGCCTTGCCGCTAAAGTTGACAATCGAAAGCGGTGCCTGGCGCAGAGCCATTTTGTCGACCACAAGGATCAACTGGGCCAGCAGGTTGTTGATGAACATGGTGCGCACGTTGTGTTCGGCGGACTCTTCGACCAGCAACGCCGGGTCGTCCATGGGCCGGGAGTCGGACGTGTTGGCACGGGCACGCACACGCTCACCGGGCGACCGGTCCGCGAGAGGGCGAAAGACGGTAGTGAGAAGACGCCATTCGGGCCGTGACATGATGAGGGACATGCACTCGAGGACGACGGGACGGTCGACGCCCGATACAGCATAAAAGTTGCCGTTGGTAATCGTCGACGTGCCAAAGAAGGTGCCACCACCAAACAGGCCTCCTTGACCCTGGCTGGCATTGCCCTGCAGCTGGCTGGGGCTGTCGAGCATCTCTAAGAGGCCTGTCCACCAGCGGTTGAGGATGGAGGCACGGCGCTCGACATCTTCGGGGGACAGCTGCGAGTTGGTCTTGTTGTCGGTCGTGCCGTCGGTCGTGTGGCGGCGGAGAAACGGGATGAGCGTGGCCCGAACCAAAATCATGCGCTGGGCCGTGGTGGTCTTGGACAGGAACTTGAAGAAGTTGGTCTCGAGATCCTTGAAGACCACCCAGAGAGGGTCGCGCGACGTCGGATGTGGCATGGGACTGTTGTGGTTGCTGGTGTCCGCAGTGGTTAGGGACTCGGCCTCGGAGGCGGGCAGCAGCGTGCTTTCGTTGGCGCTGCCGTCGCTGCTGCCGTCGTCGCTGTTGGAGCTGCTGTTCGTCGTGCTGCCGTTGGACTGAGTAGCACTGGATGCCTCGGCACGCTTGTCGGACAGCAGCTCTAACGACAGAGACAGCAATGGAGGAGCTGGCACGATGCGGCTGGAAGTCCGCCCGTCAGCATTTGCATCAGCATCGGCAATGGTGTTGGCTTTGGCCGTGTCATCGGGCGTTTCTCGTTCGTCGTCGCTGTTGTCGTCGTTGGCAAGGGTTGATCTGTTGCTGGCACTGCTAGAAGTGACCTTGACAAACATGCTCTGGGGGCGCTGCTTCATTCGGCTCAAATATGTGCTGGCGCGGCTGAAAGTCCTTGATGTGGACGCAGGGGCTGCAACGGCACTTGCGGTGGTTGTGGTGGATGTGGTGGATGTGGTGGATGCGGCGGTGGTCGTATTAGCGGCGGGTACTTCTGCAGGTGTGGCGCCAGTGGTGGCCGCCTTAGCAGGCTCTTCAGGTGCCTTTGGTGCGTTTAGTGCCTTTTCCGCCGATCCAATGGGACCCTTCCCACCAACACCGCCGCTAGCGCCATTGCTACTGCCGCTCAAGCTCGTATTCAGGGAACCCTCTTCGGGCTGATGCCCTGCATCAGGGCTGCGCTTGTCGTCATTGTTGGTACTGGTGCTCGTACTTCCATTGCTGTCAACGGTGTTGTTCACGAACAAAACGGTGGACACGGGCCGCTTGCGTGTGAGTCGCCCTCCTGATCGGCTGCTGGCTTCCTTGTTTTCTTTACTCTCCTTGTCGTCTCTTGGTAATTTCCGTGGCGATTGGGGCGAAGGGGACGGCGATCGCGAAATCCAGGACCGTCGCGCAAAGTCGACAAACGATGCGGACACCGTTCGTTGCCGCTCGACCATTCTGTCGCCGTCCACCAGCAACGTCGGTGGGGCCTCTGTCGATGCTGCAGGGGCGTCGTGAGCTGTGTTGGCTATCCTCTCATGTTTGTCTGGCAGAGCTGAGCCCGATGCTGCTGCGGCCGACTCTGCTGCGAGTCGGGCACGTCGAGCCTCCTTTTCCCGTTCCTTGTTCAGTAGCTCGTCAAAGTTGGGCGCCGAGCGCGAGCCGGGGAGCCAGGAGCGCGGGCGGTCTACGAGTGTCTTGCGTCGGCCGAGTTGTTCGCCGCCTGTCGCCTGGGCTCGTTCCTGGTCAATAGCCTGTTGTCGCGCGGAAGGAGCCACTGCGGTAGACGGCCGCGGGGGTTCGAGAGATTCCAGGAGGCCAGGAAGATGAGGCAGGTCGCGGGTGCGAGTGCTCAGATCGGCGATTCCTGTAGACGAGGTCGACGCTCCGAATGTGGAGTTGAGTTCCGCCTCGAATTCACTGGCAAAGGAGAGGCTGTTGGTGGCCGAGGCGTTCTCGCTTGTGCCGTGGTTGGTATTGCTGGTACCAGTCGTAATAAATTCTTCCCACACTCGCCGGGGCGTTTCGGTCGGCTGCTTCGCTTTGGGGAGTGACTTTTGTTTGCGTTGAAACGAGAGTTCCAGCTCGGCGTCGAGGTCAATGTCAAAGTCAAACGAGGGCAGATCAAGCGAAGGAAGGCTGGGGAGGTCCTTGGAGAGATTGGTGAAGGAAGAATGTGTAGACGGGGAAGGCGAAAAAGAAGAAAAGGATGAGAGGTTCGAAGGAGACGAGACGTTTGGCGTTGACGCCGACGCTATTAAGGCAACAGATGCGCTTAAAGGTGCCTTCGATAGTGCGGCTGGGGGGAGTGAAGGTGTTGCTGCCTTCGGTGTAAACAAAGTTGGCGCTGCTAAAGTAGTGCCCGCTGTGCGACGGTGGTCAACATGGCTTGTAATACTTGTCTGAGTAAAGCCGGGAGAAGAAGGCAGTGAAGGGAGCGAAGAGCGCAGTAATAATAAATCCGGTGTCGAGTGAGACCGGTGGAACACATTTGTGTTTGTTGATTCGATAGCCGGAGCCATCGCCAGCGGAGGGCCGCTCATCTCATGGCTGGCCGGAATGGAAGTGGGCAGGGTGCAGGCCTGAGAGCCTGTTATGACCACACGCAGGGGGGTGTTCCAAGGCAAAAATGTATGTCTGGTGTGTTTTGTTACTCCGTAGACCTACGGCGAATATGCGCAGTCCGGTGTTTTGGAGCCTTGTTCAATGGTATGTTGTCGTAATGGCACGGGCCAGTAGTGGTGTCAGATAGGTTGCGAAGCACGGAAGATGGCCAACCGCAGGACAGACAGAAGCAGGGTGTGCACAGGGCCGACGGGGCAGACTGGGAGGCACAACAGCGGATACAACAGGCCAAGACCACACAAGATCAGCGTCGAGGGGAACTAGAGACGCAGCAAGACAGGCTGAGCCCCCAGGCTGCACCAGGTGAGGCGGATTGAGGAAGGAAGGGGAGGGGAAATAAAATATAAAATATAAAAATATTAAAAAAAAACGAATAAACGAATAAATGAAAAGAAAGGTGTGTAAAGCGAGGGAGGGAGAGGGAATAATAGGGAACGTAAAGGCACGGGTAAAAAGGGAATGGAAAGCGAGTGGAATAGGCTCAAGGAAGCGTCAGAATGCTTAAGAACGCTCCCCAAAACAGGATACAGACCAAAGGCAGCGCCGGATGCAAGAAAGTGGCAAAATGACCAAAACAGGAGAGCCGAAACGGAAAGAGGCTCTCTATGGGCATAGACATGCGCCGTAGACTCGTAGAAAACCAGAACGATCCAGCCCCGGCTCCAGTCTCACTGCATGCCTCTCGATATTAATCCCGAGACGTTGTTTTCAGTCGTCCAAGGCGTACAGAGTACAAGGACAAACAAGATCGTGTATGCGGTGCGGTGTGCGGAGTATGTATACGAAGCAATGCAGTACTCGGAAGGCACCCTATAAAAGCCAGTAGTATTTTCTGTTATAGGAGCCGGCAGGCGGTTGACAAGTAGTTGTCGTCAGATTCCTGCTTTTTGTGTAGGCGTCTTGGCGGTAGAAGTCGAAGCTGAAAGGAAGACGGCGTGGATCATAAGGCGTGTGTCGCTACGAGCGAAGAATGTGCGGCGAAGCTTTTGTCGTTGCGTAGCATTTATTCTTCCGTAGGTGTATGGAACGGATACGAAAACGTGGGCGTGGGTGTGTGGTTTCGTTCGGAGGTATTACCAAGGGGCTCGAATGGCGAAAGGCTCGCACACGTTGGTCGCTGGTTGCTTTGCTAGAATGGTGTCAATACAACATTCCGCATTCCTTGGTCCAACAATGTGTGCTCCCGTAGTACAACAGGGCACGGCGTGTTTCAAGAAGAAAGATGATAGAATGGGGCGGCGAAAAGAAATAGGCAGTGAAAATAAAAATCAAATAAAAATACTTTAGAAACGTCAACAGGGAACAGGGAAAGGGACAGACGGTTAAAGACAAAAGTAAGGACCTGGCCCAAGCAATATCGAAAGAAAACGAGGTTGAGGTGGTGACAATTATAATGAAGGATTGCAGAAGAACATACGAGGCCCAACAGAGCAAAAGGGACAAGAGAAGGCTGGAAGCGACTCACATGCAGTTATGGGTGGCTGACCACCTTTATTGAAAAGATGTCGATATTCGTGTCAAAATTACTCAGGAGAGGGTTTCCGTAAGGAGGGACGGTGGGAGGGAAATGCACGGCAAGGAGCAGAGAGATCGACACATGAGAAATGAATTGTGGTGTGGAGAAACGATTGCACAAAGAAGTGACTTTGGAAAGGCTGAGAAAGGCGGACAGAAGATCGGAAGGCAGGCGAGACAGGCGAGATAATCGAGAAAAGGAACAGAACAGTGCTAATAATGTAAGACAAAAAGAAGACAGAACAACTCCGAAAGACAATACGACAAGGGAACGAGTGGCAGAAGCGGCGCTTCAAACGAGGGACGGGGCTGGCGCGAGGTGAGTACGGCGAGGCGATGCGGGAAGGGTTCTTGGTGAGCTTCCTTGAGACGTGCGAAGAGAGGAGAAGAGAGTTGAAGTTGCATTCGCAGACTACGGAATATTCGTGTGAACCCCCGAGAATGTGACGGAGGGGGATGGAGGAAGGCACGACCAGCTCAGCTACTGACGTGCGAAAGCACGCTACAACACGATACGCGAAAAGGGAAAGCACGACCGCAGGTGGGAAATCATAAAAAAAGTGCCACGAAAGCAACACAAAAAGAGGCAAGAGCTGAGGCGAGCGACCCTGTGCCCTTCCCTTGTTGTCAAAGAGTTTGTCCCCCTATTTTCTCTTTTCCTAGCCAGCTATTTTGGTGTGGTGGGCGGGTCGCCGTGGCGCGATGGGGCCGCGGATATTTCTACGATGATATATTTTTTTTGGAGATGGGAAGATCGGGTTAGTCTGCAAATAACAGGAGCAGGGGAGAAAACAAATAAATAAAAGGAGACAAAAAATGGAAACGAGACAGAGAGACAGAAAAAGGAAAGAGCCAACGCAGATTGACAGCAGGATGGCAACGGGAGGCAGGAGGGACCGACATGATATCGTCAGAGAACGAGTAATGGAAAGAACGGGCTGGCTGTCAAGAAGCATTAGAAACGACAAAAAGGAAGGCGCATCGGAGAGGCGGTTGTGGAAATTAAGAAAGAGCAGGAGAGTCACACTAAGGAGGCGGCGGCAGGAAGTTACGACGTACGGAAGGAGGTCGGGACAGGCGAGAAAAGCAAGAAAAGCGAGACATTCTGCACAAGATCGGGAAAGGGCTGGTCTCCCTTGATCAGAACCGTTGTGGCGGGCGCTTTTTGGTGATGTCTCTGACAAAAGTTGACGATCGTGTTGATCGCATCTTCCGCACGGCCAACAAAAGTCTACGACAATTCTGTATGAACGGGATATATTGACTGCAGCAAAACTAGCCGCAACCACTTAAAGACGTACGACATCCAGGCGACTGCCATACCCCATACGAACGTTCCAAAACGACACACGACATATATCCATTGGGCATTATTGTCTGGGACTTGGCACTCCATACGGAACATCAGACAGGCATCAGAAGGGGTGGGAGGAGATCATTCGGAAAGGAAACCGGGCAGGCGGCGCACGAAGAGGAAAAGAGCAAAAAGAGAGACAGGCAAGAGACAAAAACCGCCACGGCGACTGTGCTCAGCATTGTTCCTCGTTCCAAGCCACAGGGGTTGGCCTGTCCGTGGCCCAGCCCGGGGGCACAGCGCTTCCTCGAAAAAGCGACGTCAGGGGCTGCCAACGCTTGAGACCTGACCTTTCCCAAAGAAGTTCAGCTGAGAGGGTCTGGATGGGAATCGAGATCAATTTAATATCCTACGAAGCCGGCCGCAAAAAAAAATGACAAACATGTCGCCAAGCGACATCTTTGGCGCCGTCATAGGGCCAGCTCGACTAAGGATCACTGGAGAATTCGTGGCAGGGTATGGCGTACAGTGTTAATACGAACATGTGCTGCTTTTACGAACATCGTAGGTTCCGTCCCCTTCCATGCAGCGTTCATCTCTGTGCGTCTGCAATCCTATTCTGGAATATGAGCTGAGATCCACACCAGCCACGAGTATGGACCACGGAATACAACACACAAGAAAAGCAAACCTCCTCGACAATTGTTCTTCTCAGCCAACGACTCAGACCACAAAGCAGGCCAGCCACCGTATCCTTCCTTGCATGCAGACAGAAGATCGTTGGCCACCAGCCTCTCGTCAAAGAGCGCCGAAGCTGCCGAGGCTGAGGACAACAAATCAAAACAAGACCAAACCGGGAGGAGTAAACAATGCGGGTTGAGGCTTCAACAACGTCCTGTGCCAATACTTCGTATGCAGCCTATCCTGTTGCCGTACTTTGGCCGTGCTGTTTTCGGTTGTGGCCTGGCCCAAAGAGGTGGAGGCCAACTGGGTCGGCCTGACCCCTAGTCTGTTTGAGCACGCCGAAGTTCTGGGTGTGCCGTGATGGGCCGACCACAGCCAGCCAGCAGACATCAAAGAAACAAGAAGAAACGAGAACAGAGAGACGATCAGAAAAGGCAGAGACGACAGAGAAGCAGGAGAACAAAATCCGCCAAATGTGTTAGAACCCACACGACCCTCGTTTCCCACCACAGCCGGGTCGCCGACGACCCTTGTACAGCAGGGATTGCGAGCCAAGATGGGTTCAAGGTCTACCGTTCAAGATCGGTGTAGCGGCCTGCACTAGGCCAGGGGGTGGAGGGACCCTTGCGGGGCTTGACGGGGACCCTTCAAATTGGCGAACGATGTGGAAGCCAAGTAAAAAACGGACGACGTAATTCTTGGCGGATTTTGACAAGGCAAAATTAGGCACCACACGATGTACAGCCCGAGCTAGCTTGTCGAGCTGAAAAGTAGTCATGTTGCATCGTGCCCGGAAGGCAGTCAGAATTCAAATTCAGACTCCATATGCCGTACGATTCCCATTGTACGAAATATAAATATGCTTTTACGAAGTAGCACGTTGTGGACACTAGGCAGCTATCCACAAAGAGAGTAAAACAATTATGTACAAGGCAGACCAGAGAAGAAGCGGTCAAGATTGAGAAAAAGGCCATCGGAAAAAAATCGCTGCATTGAAAATAAAAAAATAAACGTTAAAATAAAAAAAGGAAAATCAAAACAAAACGAGGAGAGGCAGCGGCCGCTGCCAATATGTAAAAACAGCCTGCCGTTGAAGAAGTGGCGGACAGAACCGTTCGTTTGGCGCTGGCCTGAACGTGGTGAGGGACGAGAAGAAGAAAGAAGAACATGAAAATGAGAGGGTACGAGATGAGAGCGCTTACCTCGCTTATGCGGGACGCAGGAGAGGCCATGAAAGTACAACACAATACGAATAAAAAACATAAAAGAACAACATCCAACAAAAATAGGAAAAGAACAGCCGCCCGTATTTTCTGCAGCACGGTTATTTCTCGAGGGTGGCGCTTCTATGCCTTTCCTTTCCTTTTTTCCTTTTTTTACTTATTGTTCCCTTTCGCGTTTTTACACTTGAGTCAACGTGGCGTGTCTTTCCTTTCCCTTTTATGTTTTTGACCGATTCTTGAATTAAGTAAACAGGCAGCGGGAGAACGACAAGGGGAAAAGATGAAGAAAAGAAGCGAGCAGTTCATGCAGGCCGTCACGAGAAATACGGATCCCACCATGAGAATACGATCTTTGGACATGTTGATCTGTCAAAATGTATGGAGTACTAGGACTGGATCGAGTATTTCGACGATATGGAGTATGTTGCACGGCAATACGACCCAGGGAACCATTCCCGTATTCGTGCTCTGAGCTACACCAAGCTACGGCAGCTCACATACCAGCGGTTACTGGCATCTTAACAGACATTGCTATGTGTGTCGTACGGCGTATTACGGTGCACAAACCCATGTTAAAATCGGTGGTAACACAACAACGTTGGCGTATAAAGCGGAGGGAAGATGCTTTGTGACTGATGACCAAAACTCACTCATGGCTTGTGCCACGTTGGACGAGTATGGGGCAAGATGGATGGACGGCGAGATAAAAAAAAAATGACGCGTACGGGGATGGGGAACGTCCTGTCGTACAGACGATGTAGACCAAACGTACCAACATTGTGAGCAAAAGACGCCATCACAGACGAGGCGAATATTGAAAATCCACAGACGAGAAAGTCAATGTAGCGGCGTTGAACGAAACGAGGGAATCAACAGCACTAATGCTCCGAGGAGAAAGCTTTGGCTCGGTCTCTTCAACAAAGTCAAGGTCCGCAAGGCTGACCTGCCTTGCATTAATTTGTGTATTTCCCCTGTTCCGCGCTCGGCGTGGCCCGAGGGACGCCGGCATCTCCGCCTGCTCATTTTATTTTGTCTCGTCTCCTGTCACCACCAGCATGCGCGCTCTGGGTCTCAATACCAAATATTTTTTTAATGGACAGCCACGTCGGTCCAGTACGGATTCACGCCCAGCCCAGAGTCACGCCAAGCCCTTCTTCAGACGAGGCCCCTCGCTTTCTGAGACAGGGCCTGTTGTGAGATGACTTGGATGGGGCGACGATACCCGATACCCAGTGGGTTGGCTCAGCGCGGCCTCCGAAGCCGAGAAAGAGGACGAGCCAGACAGGAAACACAGTGCAGGTTGCTTTCCTTGTCCACGCCTCCGTCTCGAGTCGCTTCATCCCGTTTTGGGCGGTTTTGGACGCAGGTGTCTTCCGAAATGCGAGGAAGCGGCTCTGTCTTGAAACACGCCACAATCCTGTCGTCAAAGTCGATTTTACTCTTGCACGCTGTCGGATATGTTTATTGCTACCAAAAATATCACAATCTAATCCAGCTTCCGTCTCACCGGACTGATGCAATGCCAATGCCAACCCTGGTCCTTGCCAGCCCTATCGCCTCATGCCAACCCCTAGCACAATACGATGTGTTCGATACGCCGTATAAGACGGAATCATGAGGTTGATCGACGGACCCGGGCGCGGTTCCGAATCCCCCTTAGTACTTGTAGCAGCAAGTAAAATGGAATGCGGAACGCAACACGGCACGGGAAGAAACACAACAGAAGAAAAAAATGCCCGACCAAACACGGCTCTCGGACCCTCGATGTTACATTCTTTCCGCTCCCAACCCTAAAGTGGCTGTTGGAACGCGGGGAGGGGGGTTCGGCTGTTCGTCGTGAATCAGAGACAGAGGGTATGTTTTGGAAATGCAGCCCTGCTTACATACTTGTTTACGGCCATAAGTCAAAGTGACTGTTCTTTGCTTGGTGGTTGTTTTGTGGCGTTCCTGTACGGTAAAATCCGAGACATGGTCTGCATCAATGGAAAATGATTCAAGAAACCCAGAATGGGTCGAGATATCAAAGGTAGGTAAGGAATAACCTGGTGCGTTAAGCGCAGAGGTAGGCGACCTGCCTTGGAGGTTTGATGATAAACGTTCTGGGCTGCGTCGTATATAAGCCCTCAACAAGCGTTGTGCTATATTATAGAAAACTGGCTCTTGTGGTTACAGGTCCATCCTCCAGCAGTTGTTACTTTTGACAGTTTTTGTGTGGTGACGTTCGCACTTGTTTTTCTTTGTGTTTGGTCTGTTTTCGTCTGAATGCCAAAATTGGTGAATATTTAGTGACCAACAAGTATGACAATAAATGTCATTTACTCGAATGTCAAGTGTACATGCTGACTTTGGGGATATCTCTGGGTTTATAGGTTTTTCTGTCTATATATATTCGTCATTTTATGACTTGGCTCTTTTCTTTTCCCATTTCCATTATATACAAGAGCTGTATATTATATTGATTTTGTTTTTGTCAAAAAAAAAAAAAAGTCGAAGTAGTAATCAAGTAATCGTCGAGCCTAGATAACAAAGCAAACTACAATCATTAAATTAGTTAAAATATTTAATTCCCAAATATCATCATGGGGACAAAGACCATTTCCTGTCGATGACAGACACAAAGTTTCAATGACGCAACAAATAGGACACAGGTACTAACGGTTTTCTGCAGGCGTCTGGCCACACCTTTCAGAACTCACCACTACGGTAGCTGTACCGCCTTTACAACGATACATGTTATTTCGTTGTCTGCGTTCTGGCTACGGCGCGTCATGTAAAAAACGTACGGCGTACAGTTCAGATGAATGCCAGGACAATCATTACATACCGCAATGTGATGGCCAAAGACGAGGCTATGCTTCAGATCCAAAATACACGATTTCTTCACAATGAACCTTCCGACTACGCCTATTCGGTAGCTTCTAGAAGACGTATCTACTGTAGGAGTATTAGAAAAATAGAATAAATGCAACCTCCGTGTTGTGCTTTGGAGATTGAACGGACAAGAGCCAGCGGTTGTTTTGTGACAGTTTTCCGTACTTGGAATGTCATACTGGTAAGGCTGTTGGAAGGTGTCGACACCAAGTTAGCTAAGGTCACCCACCAGGATTACCCAATGCAACACTGCGGCGATGCTTAAGTCTGGAAATAGGGGTAGCTGCACGCTAGCCTACAGCGAATTCAGGCATACCGTAGCCATCGGTGCGTTTTCACCTGCTTCACAACATTGTTTAGGGGCATTCACAAGCTTCACGCGCGGGGAAACGCGCCAAGGAGGAGCCGCAGGCAAGTTTACGGAGTATTAATTTCAGGATACAGTGGCCGAACAGAAAAACTGGGGACCTTTCATCTTTCGCCCCCCGACAGCGGACAATTGACGGTGCTGAGTGCTGACACGGCATTCTGTTCTTCGTTGTTCTCGTTTCGGAGAACACGGCAGCGCGCAAAGCTCGAATTTCAACAAATGTCCAGTCCATTTCAACGCGACGTTGCTGTCTGACTCCTCTCCTTTTGTCAGCGTAAAAAGTCAAAAGATACGACGACTACGGTGAATATTGCGAGGGAGCACAGAAGACGACTGTCCGCCAGCATCTTCTTTGATCGCTCGTCCTTCATTTCCTTGTTTGTCTTCATTTATTTGTCTTGCAATCTTTCTTTGTCGTCGCACACGGTCGTCGCCTCCAATTACTTTTCGCGTCGACTCTAATCATCGGCGCACCGCCATCGCACCGATCCTCAAAAAGTACCTACCTGCGGACACAGACACACACGCCTTTTCGGCGTTCCGTCCACACAATGGCCCGCCGCTTCAAGCTCGTCCTCCTCGCCGCCCTGGCATTTACCATTGCCACGATGCTCTACACGTCCCGACTGCGCGACGCGCGCACCCCCGACCAGCGTACAATCCAAGACTTTTACCACAAAACAAAAGGGGCTCTGACGCCAGGCTCGGGCGGCGTGGGCGGCGCCGCCGACAAGGCTGCTGCGGCCAAAGTGATTGACATGGACAACGACGGCGACGTGGACGAGGACGATGCGCGCCTGGCGCGGGAGATGCAGAGCCGGCTCAAGGCGGCCGAGCAGCAGGCCAAGGACAATGCAAAC